CTTTTTTATTATTAAATTATAAAAATATTTTTTTTTAGTTTTTATATCAGTTAATCTGTTAAATCTATTTGAATATTTTAAATATTTTTAGTTTTTATATTATTTTTTGTACTTTTTTATTATTCAATTATAAAAATATTTTTTTTTAGTTTTTATATCAGTTAATCTGTTAAATCTATTTGAATATATACATTTTTAATTGCAAAATTTATAAGTTTAGTGACAAAAAATATACATATATTACAAGTTTAAGGATTAAAATATATATTTAAATAAATTTAACAGATTAATTTATGAAAGAACTAAAAAAAAGTGTATTTTTTATAATTCAAAATGAAAAAAATATAAAAATTAATTAAAGACTAAAAATATTAAAAATTGAAAATTCAAAAACTAAAAGTTTGCATTTAACTAAAATGAATTAAATTCAATTAAACATTCCCCTGACAAACATTGAATAATCGGAATCCTTGGGATCAGAAAAATAAAATTACAAATTAAGACCAAACCCCCATATACCGTGGAGAAAGCGACCACAGTATACTGCGTGCCATCTAAGTCTGAGTTTCCAACCCAACAGTCCTTCGGATCAGAAAAATGAAAAATACTACAAATTAAGACCAAACTCCCATATACCATGGAGAAAGTGTTCAGAGTATCCTCTGTGTCTGAGTCTGAGTTTCCAACCCAGCAGTCATTTTTTCTCTGCTTCTCGCTCTCAACACTCTGAGCTTCCAAACCAGTAGCCATCTTCTTTCTTCTTCTCACTCTCATTTCAATCGGTGATACCTCTGCAATGGCTTTGCAATTAAGGGATACTCTGAATGAGGCTATTACAGCCTGCACAGGTCTCTCTGCGGCGACCTTCTTTACTGTCCTCGCCTTCCTTTGGACCATATACTACGTCGTAACGAGTCTCTTCGGTTCGTCCGATGCTCCTCCTCGGCGGTCCAGGGACTTTGAGGAGATGGAGCTGGTTCCTCCTCCAGTCCAGCTTGGCGAGGTCACCGAGGAGGAGCTCAAGCAGTACGATGGGTCGGATCCTAAGAAGCCCCTCCTCATGGCCATCAAGGGTCAGATCTATGATGTTTCACAAAGCAGGTATGATTTCATATCTTCACCGACTTTTATCTTCTGGGCTTTTCGTGTATGTTGAAATTGGAATTATGGGTTTTGATCATTTTGATGATTTGTTTCTGTTTCAATGGTGAATGATGTTCTGTCGTTTTCTCTTTATTGTGCTGTTCAAGTGCTGCTTTACGGGTTTCTATAAAAATTTCTCTAATTTTTCTTCTTGATTTATTTCTGGTTCAACGGTTAATAGTGTTCTTTTCTTTTCTCTTTATCATACTTCTCAGGTGCTGCTTCTGGGGTTTCTATAAAATTTTCTCTAATTTTTCCCCTCATCTGGACTCTTAATTTATGCACCTTTTATTTCTCATGCCTTTTCCTGCTTTTCCCTTCCAAATTGTTTTCTTTGTTTTTGTTGATTATGTGGGATGGGATTAAAATATGCAAATTTTATAAAACAAGTCCATAATATTGGATATTCAACTGAACAATTTGATTGCAGATAGATTTCCTTGTAAGTTAGTATGTGTACTCTTTTCTAAGATCACTGAAACTCAAACCGTACTACTCTGTCATTGAATGCAGGAAAATAGTTTATAAATCTCTATTCCGTTTTCTTCTCTCACCTGGACATGGCAAAGGTTATGGCCACCATTAATTTTATTATGGACATCAATTTCATGTGTAATTTTATCAATTTATAGTTTTTTTTAAATAATTAGTTATAATATTTAAAAATATTTATTTATAAATTAATTTTAATTTATTAAATAATAAATATTAATAATTTTATTAGTTATTAACTATTTTTAAGAGTTAAATAAAAATAAAAATAAAAATAAAAATTTGACAATTTTAGTAGACCTAAAAAAATTTGACAATTTTAGTAGACCTAACAAAATTAATAGTGTTCGTAACCATGCCTTTTAGACATAAGCACATGCATAGAAACACAACTTTAGTTAGGGAAGTCTTAAGCGTGTTTGCATTGGAATTGAGTTTTAGCTGAGTTAACTATGTGCATACGATAATTGTTCATCAGATGATTCAAGAAACATCTTACCTGTTGTATAAACCCATCCTTTGTTGCAGAATGCTTTATGGACCTGGTGGGCCTTGTGCATTGTTCGCTGGGAAGGATGCCAGCAGGGCTCTTGCAAAGATGTCCTTTGAAGAAAAAGATTTAATTGGAGATATATCTGGTCTTGGCTCATTTTACTTGGAAGCCTTGCAGGATTGGGAGTCCGAGTTCATGAGCAAGTATGTAAAGGTTGGAACTATTAAGAAGACTGTTCAAGTAATTGATGGGGATGCCAGTGGTGAAGCCGTAGAAGCTAAAGAAAACGAGCCTGCGAAGCCTGCTGAGAACGGTCCATCAGAGAGTGCTGCTGCTGGATCAGAGGAAATGTCCAAACCAAAAGCAGGAGAAAAAGAAAGGACAACGGCTCGATATCCGTCCCAAAAACACGAAAATTCGACCCCGTATGTTGATGGCATTGGAGTTTCATATGCTACTAATAATTCAGATGCAGAGGAAGAGGAAGGAACAATGGAGAAATATGAAGACAATGGTCCTGGTAGCTGCGAAGAAGATGGTCAGGAAAATAATGATGAGCTGAGGAGAAGAGGGGAGGAATTCATTGCCAAGGTCCATGGAGGATGGAGAGCAGAACATTCCAGGAAAGTTAGGTAAGCCTTTTAACATTCTCAGCAACTCTTGAGGTAGCATTTGGATTCTGAGTCTTCATGAATTGATCATCAATTATGCTGGCACGAGGAACAGAATCGAGGTATAGGTCTCTGTTTCTGGGATGTTTCTAAGTGCTTTCCCAATTGATTATACTTCACACGGATAAGTTGGAAAGTAAAAGGGGAAAGGGGGGATGTAGAGCTCAGTGCATGCTTGAAGATAGATGCTTTTCTATTTGTTTGTAAAAACTTTTGTGGGCAATGCCATATTCTCTTTTGGTACAAGGTGAATTGGTATCCCCTTTCCCTGTTTTTTTTGGGATAATTGACTTCTAAAATTTATGGGAAAAGTTCATAAAAAAACCATTATTTGCACTTCATATATTATTTTTTTTATAATTAATATTATTAAAAAAATTTAATTCTAACCAATATCATTTTAATTTAAAACTTCTAAAAATTTAAAAATTAACAATCACACTCTTTATTTATATTTCAATTTTATTGATAATTTAAAGTTTTTTTTTTAATTTCAAATTATATAAAATGCTAATAAAAAAATTATAAAGAGTATTAACCATTAAAAAAAAAAATTGCAAGGATTTGTTCAAGTTGGAATGATACCAACACAAACTTAGGCTTTGTTTCATCATCACAATTCTGTTAAATTGTCAATTTGTCACTTGGCATGACATCGTGGGAAAAAAATTATTTCATACACCATAAAATCCTATCCCCGAATGAAACAATACACCAGCATATGTGGCCTCTATTTGCAATTAAATAAATGGAAATCGCACTTGCCGACATGTGACCATATTAGTAGAAAAGTACTGCTGATATAACATGCTCATTATTTAGAAGAATTTCTTACATTCTAAAATATCTTCTCTTACACTTTTTTTCTTTAGTAAAAAAAATTATTTATTTTAAAAATCATTAGTTCTTCAACATATACTTTATATATTTTAATTCATAAATTTTATTTTATTATTATAATTAGTCTAAAATAAATAAAATTTTATTATATGAGTCATGTGCCTATCTCCCTTGCTTTCAAACTAAATAGTTGGAAGAGTTTGAGAGAGGTTATGCCAAGAAAATGTAGGAGGGGGAGAGATTACCCAAGGTCAAGCATGCTGCATATCCACAACCTATCCTCAGGGGATTATTGGTAGAGAAAAAAAAAAGGGACAGAGTAAATTACAACAAAACCAGTCAAATATCTATCACAATTACAATTCAATCTTTTCGGAAAAAATGCACCTAATAGAAGAATGACCCACCAGGAATCATGCACAAAATTGTCCAAACAACTCAGTTGAATTTGCATCATAAAAGCCCAAAAATGAGATGTTAATAATTAGACATCTTACCCACAATTTGAATTACTAAATCGATATAACGCGTACTCTTAAAATCATTAAAAAGGGATTTGTTTCAAAATATATAAATTTTAACCTAAAAATACTCTAATTGTAGATATCAAAAATAATAATAATAATAATCGGACATTCTAGCTAGACCCATCAGACAGTTAATTTAAGTTAAAAACCTACTTCTTCCTCAGCAGCCAATGAGGTTATACTGATTCCAGACAATTTTCTTTTTTTTTTTTTTTGGGGGCCAAAAGTTCAAGAACAAGGTTTAGTGGGCCTAAATCATGTTGTGTCTATAGCAGATGATAAATATGGACTGGCGTCCAGTGTGCGTAGCCGATCAGCTGCAAACCTCGTGACAGGCCATGGTCCCCAGAATAGAATTCTCATCGGTTGAAAGACGAATTAAAACCGATGGTTTCTCTCTCTCTCTCTCTCTCTTTTTCTTCTTTTTACAATTAGAACTAATGTTTAGAGCATGGGAAAGCAAGCAGAGAAATTTGTGGAAAAAAAAAGGCATTTTATAATTGAGAGATTTGAAATTAATTTTATTTTTTTATTTATAATTAGGGTGTTATTGAATCAATTTTATGTATTTTGAAACTAATTTGTCTTCGAATAATTTTAAGGATGTATCTCTCACGTTGTTTTGAGACAAGCACAAAGATTTAATTTTTAAATTTAACTTATAAGACAACACTTAATAATAAATTGAACTTCTAAAATTATATATATATATATATATATATATATATATAAGAGTTTGATATTTCATTAGGATAACCAATGTAAGGAATGATTGTTATCCAAAAAAACAATATAACTAAATATTTTAAATACAATATACTCATTAGTTCAATAATTAAATATATAATTTAATTATATAGAGTTAATTAATTATACTGATTGATTCTCCAATACCTTACCACCCTCAAAACTCAATGTGGTGCTAAAAATCATATTGAGTTTGAAAATTTCTTGAAGACAAAAGAAAAACTTGAAGGTGAATCCATAATCTGGCAGAATTGGAGAGTCCAAGAAAATTCTTGAAAATGGTATCAGAAATGAACATCCAATATATGTGCTGCTATTTAGTTGCTAGGAAGAACATTCTTTAATTCTTTTCATATAACTGCTTAATCTTGTTTTCATTTCTTCTCTCTTCTAACAATTTAGTTTTTACCTGTACTGGTCCAGCATCTGTCAATAGTCCAGCAAGTTCTCCACCCAGAATGCGACCATCTGGGCCTCTGCCAAAGAAAACGAAAATCTAAAACCCAAAACAAGAATTTTAGTTTCCAAAAATCATGGAGTCCAATTGTAGGATTTCATTTTCACTGGAAATTAACTCTAACCAAATAAAGTTTCCTTTCTCGATTTATGTTTTTCTGAAAACAAAAACAGGAATCAGGGATGAAGTGATACCAAACAAACCCTTAATAATTTCTCAACAAGCAACAACATAGAGCTTGAAGGAATGTTGTTCAAATATCAAGCGATAATTACTAACTCTAAGGACTTACTAATTTCTCCCACGAAATGCAGAACATCCGAAAATCAGGCCCTATCTAGACTAGTACGAGCACTCGTGAAGGCGAAGCAATGCTACATTGCATGATTGAATGATTTTTGAGGTCTAGTGAGGGTATTTTGAAAGCACAACATCATCCATCAATCTAGGGTGCCTGTGATCCTTAACAAAATTTTGATTTTTCAACAAACCTCATCTCTTAGGAAAAGAAAGCTAACTGAAGTTCAAGAAGTAAATAAAACATAGCTTTTATCTTTTCAGTACAAGTTGAAAGAATAGTTAGCATGTCCTTGATACTTCTAGGTTGGTTTCTTTTCTTTTTTTAGTACGTTTAATGATAAACTATACAAAATGTGATAACTTGTTTCTATTCTCAAATTCCTTCTTTCTTGACTTAAAGTTTAAATCTAAAATTTCTAACTTGAAATTTCAAGCTCTTGGAGCTTCTATGTTGGTTCCTTTGTACCAGCATCAACAATTACTCAGCATGTGCTAGATGGTATCTCCACACCAATGGGTGCTTCTGACAGTATCCAACAAGGGAGAAGTAGTGAGTCCTGAGTCCTCTCAAATACTCCACAATTGCACTGCTCGCTCACTGGTTATCATTGATGAACTTCCGAGGGGAACTAGTACACAATTCAAGTGATGAGTTGCTTCAGGTTTTGTAAATCATGCCGTGTAGAAAATTTCTGTTATTTAGAATGATTAGCTTGATATCCCAGCATTTTCTTGTGAAAATGAAACACGTCAAATCTCAATTGTTTTCAAATCATGGGAAAGATATGATTCATTGCCATTGCACGTATCATATGCTGCTATTATTGGGTTTAACCAAGTAATTTCCACACTACATTGTTTGGCATAAATATTATACTATTAGAACATACATAAAAGTTCCTCATGATAGCCACCTAATGGAGTTCATCGTGAATTTTGGCTAGAAACGATCTAAGCTCCCTTGCTTTCCTCTCATGTTCAAGTGAAATGTCCATTTTTGAGTCACTCAAATCAATTACATTAATTTTCTGATCATTAACTTCAGGAAAACTGGATGCATAGCGGGAATGCACTGGAGAAGGGCTCAAAAGATCAATAACTTCATCTTTTTGAACGCTAGGACAAGATGGTTGGCAAGACATTGTCACTCTGCGATCCATACTGTCTTCTTCTTCTTCCATATCCAAACCAACCAATGGATCTTGGTTTTTGAAATTGACAACAGCTGCTGGGGTTATGTTGTCTGCAACATCTGCTCTTGATGGGATGGGAATAGGATTGCTTCCTAATTCGATGTCAAGCAACAGATCTTGGAGTTTCTTATCAATTGCAGCCATAGAAGTTTTGCTCTCTGATTTCTTTGGTCCTGATTTACGCTGTTTTTGCTTCTTCCCTAGTGCTCTTCTCTGTTCGAACTCCACGATCTTTTCAGGACAAGCACTATGGATAAACAGGAATAAATTATATATCTGGTATGGTAACTTGACTGCTATATCATAGGAAAAATGCTGCTAACTAGTTCAAATAAACATGGATTGGCTATGAACCCCCTAATTTATAACAGTCTTCTCCATGGGCATAGCTCAAGTGCATCCTTCCAAAATATGAAAATACCAATTCCAAAAATAGATGTGTTTGTAAAAATTGTTTGTTAAAAAAAAAAGAGATGAAGGAAATTGAATGTGGATTCTGCACTTCAGTCACCCTATAAGATAAGCTCTAAACCAACTCCAAAATTATTTTCGGAGTTATAGTTAATAGAAGAAGGATAAACAAATGTAATAATGGCAACATACCTCTCCACAAGATCTGCTGGAACTATAGAGGTTTTAAGTCCATCTATCTCTTCCCATGAGACCTCAAAACAATCTTTCCCTTGAACTTTTCTGCGCTTAATAATTGCTGACACAGGGCACTTGACTGGTATCTACAATGTAGAAACTTTTCCAGGTCAAATACTGATTGTAGCTTCATTACTGTTGAAATAATACATAATTATTGAAACTTCCAATCATTAATGTTTATGATAGTTCCAGACTATTGTCTTAGCTTTTAAATGTTAACTTAAGAGTATGATGCTCTGTTGACCGTCAGGAAATCAGAAATCCTAATACAGCATTCTAGTCAAGATGCACACAAAGCATTGATAACAGTACACTGCCATTTTCCTAACATTAATGACAAGGGTCAAATAAAAGTAGCAAGTCCAGCAATAGTAAGTCAAACAAAAATTACAGGAGATCATAAATAAATCAAATAGAGACTGATGAGTACCTCCTTCAGTGAAAGTTTAACACCTAATCCAGATGAAGTAGCACGCAAATTGGCAAATCGCCGTAAATCCCTTTCAGCAATCTTAGGAAGGATGTATTCATCTGAGCAAACTGACAATTAATGAGCTGATATATACAAAAAACACTCAATAACTTGCAAGTGCGTGTTTATAACAAATGATGTATGTTCATAACAAATGTTGTATGTTCATGCACGATCCCATGCGCATGGGTGAGAAGGGAGGAACCTGTTTTCTCAGGAGGCCACTCGAGGAATTTTCCACATATTTGCTGAAGTTCCAGTCTCTGAAATGGATGTTGTGCAAGAACTCTACAAGAATAAAATAGTTAAGAAAAGGTGCACGCCTTAGCTTTTAGGGAACAAGAACTAAATATTGACTGAGTACTAATCAGCCCTCATCCAATAACCAGCGTTGGCTAACTTCTTTCTAGTTCCAGCAGCATGCAAATTTAGATTTCCTCATAAGAATCAAAAAGTCAGAACCTTTCTTAATAACACAGCTATACTAAATAACAAGAGACATTTTAGCAGGGTAAGAGTAAGACCCAGTTTAAAATATTTTATCAAATTCTGTTCAACTATGGTTCATAGAGCATTGAACAGTTTAACATTTAAGGAGTTTCAGTACGAATAGTCCAAACCAACAATTAAATAAAACAACACCCTTAAGAAAAATTGATGATGTATGCTCTTAAGAAAATTCATAGTTATTGCTTTAAGAGACCACACTTCCTGTCAAGGATTGTATTAGGAATGATGCTGGTAACTCTAAACTTTTATACTGAACCACAAGCATGAAACATAAAGATTAATGAGCACCAAGCAAACTCATTCTCCTGGATCATCAAGAAATTAGGCTGGAATTTGGAGATACTGAAAAGGCCTCAATAACTTGTGGTAGGATGATGTGTTCACACAGATGGTTATTTGAATATAGATAAATAAGAACAAATATCTATGTGCATGCATGGCACTTTCATCCTTAGCTTTTATAGAAAGATAAGTATTAATGCACAAACAGATATGGAAAGGATGGCAGAGAAACTAAATGAAAAAAAGGCAAAATATACATTACTTGCAAGCATCTCCTACTAACAACAGCTAAAGTAAATAATAACAGTAACAAAAACTGGCATAACTAACTTACTTATGGACAACATCAGAATCTGCTGAGTGGCACTTGGGTTTCATATATGCCTCAATGACTTGCAAAAACTGATTCCTGCTTTGCAAATAACCATTGCTTCCTAAAACAACCATTAAGTATTCAAAAGAGCATCTTTGATTCTCTTGCTTTTTAAAAGAGTAAACAAATTTGGAACTGACCAATTTCTAAAAATTACTCCATATCAACTTAGTCCTATAATGCAAGCCTAGTCATCTTTGAACATTTTCAACATTGAGTTTAATAACACAGTGACCATCAATGGAAATGGAACTAAGTAATTCTGGTGAATATGAAACTACTAAAGCCATCTTTCCCTTTGCTAATTCAAGTCAAATCCTATAGTTGCTTGAGATATGGAAATCATCTTTAAAATCATATTACTGGTAGACTTGAGTATAGAATCTTGTATGAGTTATCCTAAAATACAATGGGCGTCTTGTTAATTTGGCTGACCTCTGAATCTTTTAGCTCAAAGCTCAATCACAACTATGTCAAATGGAAATGCAAGTTAAAACACTGAAAAAAGTAATAGGCAAGAGCCAAATGCACACATCAACTCTAATATTAGATAATAAAGTTCCTTCACAAACCATTTATGTCCTGATTGTAAGCAAGTAGATCCTGTTTCTTTGAATTTTTTGTCCTCCTCGCGAAGGACACTCCCTCTGATGCAAGTTTTTGAAGAATATCATTATCTCCAACTGACTTAACAATGTGGCATGCTGACTCCTGTAGGCAGGGGGCACAAAATAAGGACAGTAGATAAGCCAGATATCTCATATTCAACAAGCACTTAAGAAATGTTGTCCCCCACTCCACCCCCACCATCCCCCTCCAAAAAAAAAAAAAAAAAAAAAAGAGCACTTAAAGGGGAAAACAATCACATCAGGTGCATCAAGGTGTTTAAACATACTGGACCCAGACCATGAACACCTTGAGAGTAATCACCACCAAGAAGAAGTGCCAGAGAAATCTGCATATGACAAAATAACAAGTTACTTAAGAAGTAATCCATTGAGTGACATACAAAATTACAAACAATACTAATATCCCACAGATTACGCACATTCAGAAAATGGAAAAGATATCAAACAATAATCTAGGCTAACATAAACTGACACAGTGAATATCACCTTCCTGCCTCCTAGTAAAATGCTTCTAAGTGAAAATCCATACTAAAACTGAAGAGAGCATATAATTAATTACCATGTGGCAAGAGAAAAAATGGAAAAATGAGTAGCATGACAACCATGAAGGAAGGAATATGTTAACATTAGCAGTCTCAAGCAAAACTGAAAAATTACCAAGGAGTTCCTTCCAAATCCAAGTTTCCTCTCTATGTCAGCCATTTCATAACAAACAATATGACCTCCTTCGCCTAATAGAACATAAAATAGTCAGCAGTTTTGCTGCTTTCGGAAAAAAATTAATAAAGAAAAACTCAAAATGCAAAAGTATCTCACACTTACCCAGGCAAATGTCTCTATAAACTGCCCTTGCACCAAAAAGGAAGATATCTGAATCAGAAGAGAAACATCCATCCTGGTGATAGTAAAATATACAACAAGGTGCACTTAATGGAGTGTAAGATTATTTCAACCAAATCAGAAAAGAGAAGGGAAAAACTACTCACACATAACGATTCTGAGTTCAGTAATGCACACTGTGCTTCAGCTTCTTCAACCCTAAATTTCAAGGTTAGAAAGAAAATGAGGGAGCTAGTCCAAATTTATATTCTGATAAAATAAAAACTTTACCAACGACAATAATAAAATTGTATCCAATTTACCCATCTAAGCAAGGGATCCCAAGGGCTAATCCAAGGAATTTTGCCTCCTTGATCATGCAAGAGAAAACAGACCCCATATTCCTCCGAAGCGATGTCACCTTCAGTGAGTTTGTTTCATCTTGAAAAACCTGTCTTATCCATTCAACCAGCATAACTTAGAGCTAAGAGAAAACTTTCCCAAATAAAGATAGCAACAGAGTTCTAGAAAAGTAAATAAATAAAGGAAACATGGTAAAACATGACACATCAATCCCCTACCTCACATCCTGAGTTTAAGCGCTGCCTGTATGTTGATAATTTGATGGCAGGAATTGATCCATCTACCAGATGGGGGAAAAAAAATTTACTCAAATTTTTAGAATGTATCTATGTATTAAAAAAAAAAGAAAAAAAAAAAGGGAAAAAAAAAAACACTAGCTTGAAAAAGAAGACTCTTCACATTTTACTTAGAGATTGGAAGCTATGAAATCCAACAAC